TGCACTATGTTAGTTACTATTATTATCTGGATAGTTAAAAAGCTTGGCTACTATACTGTATAGGTCAGCAAGAGAATGAGAAATTGGAAAATTAGCATGTATCTCATTGGGAATTTCAAAATGCTTATATAAGTCTTTTAAAGATACTCTATTGATGGATGGGGACTGGATCTTGAAGAAAATATAGAGAAAATGACAAAGCAACCGGAGTAAACACTGATTTTCCCGCTGTAGGAACCTGGGCTCTGAGTGTTTATAAACTATAAAAAGTATCCTTTTTCTAACTTCATTAGTTGAATCTTCTATGGTAGCGTGTCATTGCCTAACTAACATCATGACTATCCAGTAGGTGTCAAATATTGCTTAAATAATTGCCGTGTGGCCAGACATAAAACTCTGTGCTTGGTGTGTGTGTTTGTGTGTGTGTTTGCACGTGCACACGCACGTGTGGTGGAGGAGAAGAAGGAAGAGGAGGTGGGAGGAGGAGGGGAAGGAGAAGAAATAAAAGATCTTGAACTTGCTACGCTCTAGTAACTAACAATACAAGGTGTACAAGTGCTCAAAAGGAAGTTTCTTGTTCAGGATTATAAAATTAAAAAAAAAGAAATTTATTAAGGTATTAATTTTGTAATGGGAGAGAGAATAAACTCAGTTTTCACTATAAATATGGTGTTCTTTTAGCAGCAATCGTTACAGAATGTCAGCTGAGTACCACTTAATTTTTTTTCCTCTGAGGGGAGGGAGATATCGTACCTTTTGTTTTTATTACTGTCTCCATATGTTCAAGAGCTGGGCCAGGAAACTGATGGTGTTTAATCTGCCACAAGTTTTTGGGAAACCATGATTCAAAATTTCTTCTTTTTTTAAAATAGCTGCATTTTATTCACTTTGGAAAATTTTGAAAATGCGGAAAACGCAAAGCAAATGATAACTACAGCCATGTTTTGATTCTGAATTAATCTTACAATAAGATTAGCTTTTTTATCGGTGACCTTTCAGTGTCTGGTTGAGCACTTATCACTTCCTGTGTATTCACATATGGTGGGAAGACTACACATCTCACTGGGCAAAATAGGCATGAAAATAAATCCTCTAAAGCTTCCATTACTTTGCAAGGGTAAACAGAGTTGGCATTAGAACAAATAGACAAACATTTGTGTCTTTTATTCTCTAATTTTGAAACTAAGGGGAATATGTCCAGTCAGTGATAAGAGATACATGTTGTTTTATTTTAGAGGAAACAAACCTTTAAAGAACTATCTGTGTTCCTCTTAGTTGTAAAAATTTCAAAATATGTACTAAAACAAGACATAATAAATTATTGTTGCTTATAGTTCCTTCTTACCAGTGCAAAGAACAGTGGAAAGCTGAGGAATTTATTTATTAGATCCACTTTGTTGTGAAATAAAAAATAACGCCCTTTAAAACTGTGATTTTTTTAAAAAGAATTTCAAATAACCCAAACCTGCCAGGGTAAACGTGGTCTACATTATCACCTAAAGCTTAGGGGGAAAAACATACACCATGACTATTAATTTGAAATAAATACTCACCATTGTGCATGCTTTTATAAGTCATTTAAGTCAGAATTTCAAAAATTGAACTATGTACCACTGAATATTAACTGAGCAATTCAGATTAGCATGACTCTTGTGGTTAATATTTGCAGAAACTTCTAATAATTATCAAGATGGCCTTTATTTGTTTTTTCTTGCCACTGACCCATAGGATATACGAAAAGAAAACAGATCAGCCTCTTTCCTGATAAGAAGAGTAACCAAGAAGGCCATCTGCAAGAACTAAGTGGTGAGTAATTTCTTTTTTTAACATGAATCGAAATATTTTAATATACATTACCTTGGGCAGATGAGATGTATGATTTCTTTAAATAAGTTCAAAGACGTTTATATAAAAACAGTGAACAGAGGCACGTTACTTTATCTTTTGAAGAGAGAACTAGTGAAAATGGAAATTCCAGAAATGTCTGTTTCTTAGAACGAGATCAGTTTAAAATTTTCCAGTGCATAACAAAACACTTAAAAATTTTTAAGCATTAAACTTAACATACCATGTTTTAGAAAATACATAAGAGCAACCTGGATTTAGGGGGTTTAGACCAAGTCTTTGAAGTATCTTAAATCTCCTTGAGACCTAAAAGATTGTTTATAACTAACGGTTGCTTTGTAAAAACAATGTTGACGAGATGTTTTAAAATTTTCCTGTTAAATTTTTATGAGAATATGTGGGGTTGAGAAAAGGGAGCATCTGTATTGCAAGATGATTTCATAAAATTGATTTATGTAATCTCAGAAATGGGGAACAGAATGCTTAGCAGGAAAGAAATTTATCAGTGGGTTGTATATGTGAAGCAAATGAAAATATGGAAAGCTATATCAGCTTAGATGGGCCTAATAATTTCTGAATATTAGTATAAGATTAGTGATACAGCATCTTTAATAGATTTTTTGTGGGTCTTTTTTGTTAGGACAGTGGAACCCAATACTGGGGTGCACATGACTGAGAGGGAACTGTCAGACTATTGGATATATCAATTCCACTAATATATATTTTTCTGCAAAGTTTTGCTGTTAGAGTGATCAGGTTTTATTTAAAACAGATCTAAGAAGGAAAGTTTTTTTTGGAAATCAAGACTGTATTAGTATTTGGAGCTGCTGACAGGGAGAAAATTCTATTCTTAAAAAAGCATTTCTCTGTCTGGCTGTATTATATGAGGTTGGTTTTTTTTTTTCTTGTTTGCTTTTAACTCATTCATTCTTGGCTATGTGCTCTTGTAACATAGTCAGTTTTTCTCAAGAGAAGGCCAAATAATGGAGGGATACTCAACACAGAAACAACCTTACAAAATGTTGATTTTTCATTTCTCAGCTATCAATTAATCTGCTGGTCATTTATTTCACTAATTAGCCTCCTCTTGGAAAAGGCGAACAGAAATTTTACCACTGCTGAATTCCAAATTAATAAAAAAAATTTACCTTAGTTTTAATTAGCAAGAGATTTAGTAAAGAAGAGAGTTAAAAATACTTGGCATTTTACTTATATATTATTAACATACACTTGACTCTATTAATATATAATTCATAAATACATTTATTATATATTACTATATATGAATTGTATTTGTTTTTTCTTATCCTAATTACATCTGCACTACAGTATAGAATTTTCAGAGTTAATTGCAGTGACTCTCCTGTCTTTCCCTCCCATTGTCTCTAGATTCATTATTTAAACTATTAACACCTTATATTTTCCAAGATTTTGTTCTTATACCAAAATAATATTCCTCATGATATAATGAATGTATTTTGATCTATTTTCACTTTAGATTTATAAGGCTTTATCATTACAGAGTAATAATCCTAGATTTCTTAACATTTGGAGAATTCTTTTATTAAATTAGTGGGTGATTTGACGAAAGCTCTTTTTGCGGGGGAGGGTTGCTTTGCATTTTGTTTCTTATTTTGGGTTTTTTTTTTTTGATCATCAACACTATACTCTTGACAAATGGACATATTTGTGCTTATGTTAAATAAAGTGAATTGAAATTAATCTTATAAGAATTGCATTTATACTCCTTTAAAAAATCAGTATTTCTTGGATACATATATATGCACTACAAAAAAGTGCACTTGATTTGCTGTCATTTTTCTAAAAAAGGTATACATTTAGAGACTTAAAAAGATCTATATCAAGGTACTTAGTGGGAATATGAATGTTTTAAAGAGATTTCCCTTTGTTTACCTGTATTTACTAACTTTTCTAGAGTGAACTTTAATTGATTTTGTACTCAGAAGTACAAAAATATATTTTACATTAAATTAAAAAAAAATCAGTATAGTGGAATTGATCCAGAAAGCTAGTCTCACTGGGTCTTGACAGATGGTGGTACACCTGATCCTTCGTTCAGTGGTTAAGTCAGAAGCCACACCCTTGTCTGAGAGCTGGTACTGGATGTGGGGAGGATGATTATGACCCAGAATCAATGAATTCACACCTTGAAGGGGACCCCAGTGGCTGCTGCTAGGGCAGCCTTCTCATCCATCCTACAGATGTGGTCACTTTCCAGTTCACATGGCCACATAGCCAATGCTGGTTTCAGGAAGTCTTTTTCCAGAGGTCACAGACTCATGAAATATTGGCTGCCATATCAGGTCTGCAGGTCTTCACTATTTCTTAACAATAGTTAAGAAATTTGGAATTAGTAAGTGCATTTAGCAATCAGGAGTATTCACATAAAAATTCAGATATCTAGGCTGTCTTGAAAATAACCTTGAAAAGGCCAACTTAAGAGTTCTTTCCATAGGTGACAGGTGAGTTGGAAGAGCAATTGCCCATCTTATGAGGGCCACACACTTTTGTTCTCAGCTGACTTCCTATGGACCACCTGGCCCTACAGGCCTTTGAGTTTGCAACTTCGATACATTAGTCAAAAGTAATATAAAACTGTGAGAAAGTGATTCCTTCCTGATAATAATTAGGTTTGCCAAACACCAGTTCTCAGGATGCCTTAGATTTCCTGCTTGTACTTCTATGTTATTTGGGAATCACCAAATGGGAAATGAAAAAAAGCAAATGGACCTAACTCACAGCTTGAAGTACTTAAGAGTCAGACTAAGATAGGAAACATGGCTTGAGAATATGGGTTTATTATCTCTATGACACTTGGATGGTGGGGAAGAGAAAGCATCAGAGGCAATGACACTGTCCATTGGATTTTCCTGAGACCAATTTTAGACAGCAGGAGAAGATGACTCTGCCTTCTAAGTGTCTTTTGTCCTGGACTCATAATTCTTCCACGTATATTCATTTATACAGTTCTTAATTTTAACTACATCTCTGATGGCACCCTGAAGCAAAGCACATAGTGGGAAAAATGCATTTGTTAAATCTTGACCTTTGGATTCAAAGAGGATGTTTTAGTTGTGATGTCATTTCCAGACTATCCTTCTGCAAGCAAATTATTAACATTTGTTAGTGGGAATTCCCCAGTGGTCTAGTGGTTAGGATTCCACACTCTCACTGCAGAGAGCCCAGGTTCAATCCCTGGTTGGGGAACTAAAATCCCACAAGCCTCACAGCGTGGCCAAAAAAAAAAAAAAAATTTGTTAGATGGAGATACCTACTTGTGTACATCTTACTAAACCTTTCCAAGATGGAAGTGGATTCTAAGGTTGACATTAGCATCATAATTAAGGGTGAGCGACAAAAACATTTTACTCAGAGATAGAGGAGAGTCATATATATTTAAATAGGATGTCAAGTAAGGTATGTGTTTCTTTCATGCTCTATAATAATGACACATACCTTGAGGGCATTGAAAATTTGGATTTGTTCTGAGGTTTCAGTATCTGTTGTCACATAGGTTAAACCTTTATGTGCTGTAGTTAGAGATTTGCTGTAGTTATATATGCTGTAGTTAGAGATTGCAAAGTGTTTTTGCTCATTTAATATTTTTCTAGAATAGCTCTCATCTCTTGGCTCTGAATGACCAAATACCTTGCTTATTGTAGATTCATCTTCATAGCTACATTATTTGACCTGAACTAGATGATAACCAGTTTTATTTGCAGGAAAACATTAATCTAAGCAGAAGCATTCAAACACATGTGTAGAATCATTTCTCCTAGTACACATCTATTTCATTAATTTTATTTCCCAACATCTCACCAAACTACCTCTGGCACAGTTTTCTTGTTAGTCTAAATAGGAGAGTCCTCCTCAGTCCTACATGACTGTTTACATAGGCCGTTGATCAATTTTGTTTGGATTTTAAAAAGTTTTCATGGCTATTAAACGGAAAGGCAATACTTAAAGCACATCCCTTTAGATATATTTTTTCCTGATTTTATTCCTAATTTAATAATTAGGAAATAAAGAACTGATTCCTAAATAGTTTTTGGCTGAAAAACAAAATAGTATTTTTTAACACAATGCTTAGCTGTGGCTTTTGGCCAACGTTTATGCCTTGCATGTCATTTGTGAATGCTTTCAAATAAAAAATGTGCAGAGTTGCATTTATTTTTTGGCCTCATAGACCACATAAGAGCAGTTTCCATGCTTATTCTAAGCCAGCTCTGTAAAGAGATGTAATGCTACTTAAATTTTTAAACAAGTCAAGAATCTCAAACAGGGCTGTGTTATGTTATCACATCTGGTCATTCTTTGCATTAAAAGGATTATTCTCCCTGTTTTGCATTGTTCACTACTTGGACATCCAAAATGTCAATAACAGACCAAGACTGCAATAGGTCACTAGAGGGAAGAGAATATGGAGAGTAAAGAATAGCATTGAAATACGCTTTAATCTCTAAAAACTGGTTTTTAAAGTTTTGGGTCCATAGATTTTGTTAAGAATCTAATGAAAGTTGTAGAACCCTCTCTAGAGAAATGCACATATACTTGCAAAATCTGAATATTCAGTGAGGCTCATCATGACTTTGGGCTTGGAGATCACAGGTTAGAAACCCTTGCAACAAATTGATATGTTATATTTTACACACAACATAGACTATGTATGTATGCACATATGTGCTAGGATGTACATAGTCAAATTTTTTTTTAAATTCCTTTAAGTAATTATGAAGTTAACTCCCCAAGTAGTTGAAAGCTTGGAAATCTTGGTTGTTTCTGTCTAAAGGGTTGTTTAATTCCATAAGACACAGGTAGTGATGCTAACTTTTAAAAATCAATATTTTAATGAAATAAAAGAGTATGCTGAAAACAAGTGATATAAAGGTAATTTATCTAACTGCAATTGGGTAATACCTTCTTACCCTCATCCCTTTAACAGTTTTTGATTTCAAATGTTGACAAGATGCCCATTTTCTATGTAAGTCTGTAAAAATTGAATGTTAGATTCCTTATGTCTTCAGTAACATTCAGTTCAAAATATTTCTAACTTTCCTTGTAATTCCTTCTTTGGACACAGAAAAAATTTAGAAGCCTGTTGTATAATTCCAAAATTACTTAGAAATGTGTTATTTAGAGTGTGTTCATTATTTTCAGGTATTTGGGGGTTTTATATGTCTTTTGTTATTGATTTCTATTTTAATTCCATTTTCATGAGAAAACACTGTGTATGAATTAAATCCTTTGGAATTGATAGTCACTTGTTTTTTTATTTTTATTTTTTCGTCACTTGGTTTTTATATGACCCATTTTGTTGAATGTTTTAGGTGCACTTGAAAAGACTGGGCGTTCTGCCATTGTTGGTTACAGTGTTCTACTTATGTCAATTAGGTCAAGTTGGTCGATAACATCCTTACTGATTTTCATCTACTCATTCTCTCAATTACTGAGACTGGAATGTTAAAATCCCCAAACATAATTGGTGTACTGGGTTGAATGGTGTTCCCCCCACCCCAAATCCATGTCTATCTAGAATCTGTGAATGTGACCTTATTCAAAAATAGGGTCTTTGCAGGTGTAATCAAGTTAAGATAAGGTCCATCCTACTGGAGAGGAGTGGGCCCTTATCCATTGACTGATGTCCCTATAAGACTAAGGAAATTTGGACGCAGACACAAAAGGAAGGCGGCCATGTGAAGATGGAGGCGGAGATTGGAGGTATGAAGCCAGAAGCTGAGGAATGTCGGCTGGCAATCACCAAATGCTTTAAATGGCAAGAAACACTCCTTCCCTAAGCCCTTCCTAGAGAGCATGGCCCTGCCAACACGCTGATTTCAGACTTCTAGCCTTTAGAACTCTAAGACAATGAATTTCTGCTGTATTAAGCTCCCCCCGCCTGCACCCAAAAGGATGTTAGGACACTGTAATAATTACTTTGACAGATTTCTCTGGAATGTTTTAAAGTTTTTAGAAAGCAAAAATGCTCCACCATGTTATTGATAACAAACAAGAAATAGATGCTTTCGCTAGCATGGTCTTTAATATTTTTGGGTATATGAATAGGGTTATGAAATAAATAGAGATTTTCAATAAAATCGTAAATATTTGTCTTCCGCACTTTCAATTATAGGGTTAAACTCAAACAAAAATCAGAACACAAAGATGAAAACTTTCACCCAAATCTCAACCTAGATCATTATTTATCAATCATTCCACTCTGTGCCAAGTACTGGGCTATGTGCTGTACCTTTTGAGGATTGAAAAATAGAATAGAAGCAGCCCTGTTCTCAAGGTGCTCCCAGCATAGTGCCAGAATAAGACCTATAAGCGGCGACCTCATTACAGAGGCCATCAGTACTCTATTATGCTAACAAGTGTGATGTTTTGGACATATTTCCCAATTAATGTTTCCTTATCAGCTAGCCAAGTTTTCCCTCCCTGCTCCTTCCCCGTCTTATTGGATCCAGGAAAGAGGCTGACTGAAGCTACCGGGAAGGAAGGAAAGTCGGCCCCTTCCATCCTCGGAGGGTAACAGGAGGAGGAAAAAGGTGCAAGGGACTGGGGGCACCTATGTCCCAGCTTCTCTCCTGGAATAGAAGAAGTTCCAGGTCCGGGCCTCTTAAACTCTCGGGAGAGAGCTGATGAGGGAGGGCGATGCGGGTTGCGGGTTCGGCCGGGGAGAGGCGCCCTCGTGGAGCGCCCCGCGTCTCAACACAGCGGGAGCGAGAGGACCGTGCACTCCCATCCAGCCCCGACTCGGCAGAGGATGCGCGCGTGGTGCCCAGGGAACAAAGGACCAGAGACAGCACAAAGGCGCCTGGCACAGATGCAAGACAGCTTCTTCCCCACCCAAAACAAACCCCAAACCCAGAAACTCACAGCGAGGTCCCTGTGGAAATGGCGCCCTCTGGAGGAGACGAGGAGAGGGGTAGAACTAGAAGAGACCCGCCTTGCCCGGAAGAGGCAAAGCAAAAGCAACGCTTGGATGTTTATGCAAAAGAGATGACTTAAACTTGCAGACGAGGAGGAGCTGTGAATTGTCAAGTTTAAATTGCTACCCTCTCCCTCCACACCACACCTCACTCCCAGGGTGGGAGTGTATTAGGAAAAATGGACTGCAGGGATCCTTACCCGAGATCTAAAGAGGTCACATTTTCTTCTCAAGTGAAGATCAAGACGACTGAGCCTCTTGCCTTATATGTTGTCATCCTCCGCCCCTGCTTGTCCCTGCAGACAAGGTCAAGCCTTTGCATAAACAAAATAGAATATATCTAGGAGTGAACTACCCCGAAATTAACATTCCTAACTGTGCCCTTTCTAAGGCTGTATTTAAAAAACAGCACCCAATTTCTTGACGTTATGCAATTTATTATTCTAATCATGCATCTCTGTCTTTTAGAAGTCTAAATGTCACTTCTCCCTGCTCTTATCTACCTCGTTTGATGGTTTGATGGTTCCCGTTAAAATAAAGCGATGGAGTATAACTGGCTTTTAGTGCAATTGATCACTGCTGGGGGAAGAGTCAGCAAGGGAGCATTCTAGAGCACAAACTTTGGTTCTCCAGAATCAGGGCTGGATTCCTCAACAGATAAAGACAGGCCTCTCAGGGCACCGGCTAAGCTGGGCACCAAAGTAAGTAGGTGCTTAAATCCTCTGAAAGCGTTACCTGGCCCTGTGCAGAACAGCTTACTAGAAAAAAGCAGCAATAAGACAAGGATATTTTCCCACCTGATTTTAAGAGGTTTTTTTCCCTAGATAAAATGAGAATAAAAACATGAAATTTTGTCTGTCCATTGAGAAGGTGATATATGAAGGGGAGGAAAGAACCAGAACTCACCCTATTGCACGCTTCTGCCTTGATCTTTGTTTCTTCTCATGACGGGCTGTTAAAACCACATTAGGGTATATAGTTGAGTTTCCAAAGAGACCTCTGCTTTGGGGATGTGTGTTTGCTGTGTGTGTGTGTGTAGTGGGCGAGGGAGAGGGAGACCAGATACACTCCCTCAGACTAAGGTGGCCCAAGTCCTAGGATAGAAGTGAGGTGTGAACCCCATAACTTTGGGATAATAAAGCAGGGCTGTGAAGATTCGCTAGGCCTCCAATACCCCCAACTGCAGCCAAAGGCAGGAATCTCTGCGATGGACAAGAGTAGGTTCTAGATCCGGTATGTGACCAGGGAGTTGATAACTCACATTTCTTACTTTCAT